TCCTTTTTTTGTTTGTTTGTTTACTAGCCCCTTTTCGAAATTCAACTGCCCCTTTGTATTCACTGCCCACTCACATCAAGGATAAAATTAGTATATATTCTATATATTTTTGATTCTATATATTTTTTGATATAATATTTCTAATGAGTGGAAAGCAAGTAGCACTATCTGCCTGGCTCTTTTGTAGATTCTACAGAGTCAGACAACCTGCTTTAGGAAATCCTGCGCTGGAACTCCAACCCTGTACCTGCAGTCACAACAATTTTGTAACTATCCTATGGGTCAGAATAGATGAATGCTTTCCTGTTTGATTTTGATAGAACAAACTATTTTTCCTTGTTGCACATCACTTGAATCTTTATAGGCATTCTACCTATGCAGAAATACTACATAGTGCAGACAAATTATCTATTTAGCAAATATTCTCCTATAAAAGCCACACTGAAAAACTGTCTCACTCTAGACATTCAATGAGGTGGTAGAATACTGAGGTGGTAGAGTATACAATTCCACTTCAGACTGCAGGTAATATATATAGATATATAATATTTTAAAATTTATATAATTTTTGAATGCTTCCCCGTTTCCAACAAAAGTAAAGCTCGGGGGGGGGGAGTTTTTTTGCCACTTCCTGTACTTATAGTCTACTGTGTTAAGGGTAGATTCAAAAGTGTGAGCCAACATTGGCAGTTTGAAGCAGTACAATCCATGCTACCAACCCAGAATTCATTCTGCTGCATGTTTAGACTATGCCCAAGAAATGGAACCTTGGCTGTGTAAATGGGAGTAGGATTTATTCTTAATGGCTCACAGTAAGTTCTATGAGACAGTGGAAACTAATAGAATTCTTGAGACAAAACTGAAAGGATCTGGTGCTTGCCTCTGGCAGTTTAGCGCATGCTCACTTCACCACTCTATCAGTTGTCACCGGCTGCACCCAGATAAATGAATAGCTTCTATTCCCTCCTATAGCAACAAATAAACAATAGTACGTATATAGATCAAATTCTAATGAACAAGATCCTGTAATCGTTTGAGTCAATGTCTTTCTCTACAGAAAGTTCTTCTTAAATGTAGACAAACATTGGAAAGAACGAATGTCATACTAAAAAAAACCAAGTTGCTGGAAGGTGGCAAATGTTGTTTGCGCAAACAAACACCAGATAAGTGTGGTAAACCTGTGTCTTTCAACTATATCACCTCAAGTAGTAGGTAGGGGTATATTTATTCCCAGGTTGAATACTCAACCATGGCAGGGAAAGTCTATACGTAAAATACCAGCAAGATGGCTAGGTTACCTACAGCCCCTTTCCCTGGCATTTAATTTTTTGTACCTTGGAAATTATATTCGCACCAGGTGCCCAAAATCCAGGGACACCCTAGTCTGAAGTGGAACAGTCACTAAATAGGTTTACCACTTTATCTTGTGTTCATGAGTAGTAGGTCATAATTTTAGAGGCTTTTTTTTTTGCATCAGAATTTTATGAACTTCTGAGCCAAAGTTTCAGTTCACACAGAATCTTAACTGCTGGATTACTAAACTGTCCACAATGGTAGTTTCTAATCAAAGGCCAGAGAAGAAATCCTAGCTATCATTTCTGTAAAGACTGACTACATAACAAACTTTTAATAGTTTCTTAAGCAAGTTAGCAACAACAACGAAGAGCAATTACTTACTGGAAAGGAAGTGCTGAGAAGTAGGACCGAAATCTCGGTGGGCCTCATGCAACTGCCTGATACGCTCATCAATGGACACCTGCGTAGAGGGAAAATGACTCAGTGTAATAAAGGAGACAATAAGGTGTCTTGTTAAACTCCCCACCCCACCCCAGTAATCCTGCTATTAGATGTCAATACAGCTAAACTTACTCCTGCAACAATTTGAAATGGCAGAATTAATGCTTTAGACAGGGAAAGAACATTTTGTTGGAATAGTGTACGCAGTTCTATTCACACAAATCCAAATGAAGTAGATGCCACACATACATGCATAATTATGTGCAAGAGTGAAACCTTAATGTGTTTGGAGTCGTGCCCATGAGGATAAAAGCCATCTTAAATCCAACAAACTATCCACCTTCTAGATATGGTTTCTTTTCTTATCAACATTAAAGTGACAAGTCACTTTTCTGTTGTTTGTGATGGAATATATGTATTGTAATGTTTTGAAATGGAAAATTATAAATAAGCAGTATAAGCTGTGGCAATGCCCATTTGGAAAAACCTTTCTTAACTTGGAAATTTGCCAGGTCAGCCTGAAAACCCCAATGTAGGTTTTGTTCTGAAAGCCTCCAATAAAACAGTCTTCAGAAATCAAGTTTTAATATATGGTTTATTTAGTGCGGATCATTTTCAGTGGTGATTGCTACTCATATTTTGGGAAGGGCACCTTTCAGGGTAACGGGCTGGCTCTGAGGTTTGCTATCTGAGATATGGGGTTGTAAATTGGGACAGGAGCTACCTGTAGGACGAACCTGTCTCATCTGCCTGGAGCTATGGGGTCTCAGGAAGGGGAGTTGGCGATGTAGCAAGGTCTACCTACTTGCCTTCATGGCATGGCCTGGGAAGCAAGGAAGTTGGATAGTGGTAACTCTGTTTCCTGCAGACAGGAGTTTGGTTGCCCTAGCGGCTGCAGTTTTAGTTCTATGTTGAAGTTAGTTCTGCACCAATAGCTGTTTCCTATGCAGGTGTGTTATGGATTTAATCTTAAAGCAACACAAGTTCAACCAAGCCTTTGCCTCTTTTTTCAGTTATCAGGTCGCAAATGAAGTTTTAATATGTAGTGTATTTATTGTGGATCTTTTTCAGTGGTTATTGCTGCTCATATTTCGAAATAATTTGGTTCCTATGCTAGTACCAGTTTTGCTTATTTTGTTATATTTTTCAGAAAAAGTTAGGTAAAGACATGGTTGAGAAAAAGTCAGGTAGTTACAATGGCAAAGCAATCTCTCCCCTTAAATGACAAGCAATGTTTGAGTAATCATCTGTATCCCCCATCACTTATAAAACGCCTTTCCTTTCCCAATGTATTATTTTCTTTTTGTTTTTTCCATGTTTCATCCCTTCCAATCTGGCTTCTGCTGTCACCATGCAACTGAAATTGTTCTTAATGTTGCTAATGATCTTTTAGCTACATCTCATGACAATTTAACTATTCACTTCTTACTCTTTGATCCTTTTTAAAGCTTTTGCTACTGTTGACCAATCTATTATTCTTGTCTCTTTGTACTTTCCATGTTTTCATGGGCACATTCTTTCATGGATTTGATGCTATCTCTCCACCAGCTGTTGGTGTTAATGGTTCCCTTTCCACTCTTTCTGTTGGGGTTCCTTATAGTTCCGTTCTCAGCCTCTTCTATTTTTATATTTATGCTTCTTCTTTCAAGCATTATTTATTCATTCTACTTGGGTTACCTTGGTTTTTCCTAATGACCTTTACTTTTATTCTTCTGTCTCATCTGACCTTGTTAAACTACTATTCCTTCTGATTTAGCTATTTCATTATGAATGTCTTCTTACTATCTCAAACACATCTCTCAAAAACCAAATTTCAGGTTGGTCATCAGTTTCTTCTTTTCTTCACATTTATATTCTGCTGTTATTGTTATCTGAAATATTTCTTGATTTTTATCCCTTTATTGAAGCCACTGTGAAATCTTGTCATTTTCATTTGTTGAATATTTTTAAACTCCATTCAGTGTCCCACTACAATTAACAATATGGCCTTTCAATGTTTGGAAGCTGTGATTGATTATACCACAAATTGCCAAAAAAAAAAAAAAAAGCAGCTTGTAGGTCTCCACTTAGATATTATAGAATATTCCTCTACATAGTGATAAGCAGTGCTTTCTTTTTCTAAAAAAAATGTTTAGGGGTACTCTCATTTTGACTCAAGAAAATCAGCATTTTATAGTTCAAATCAGGGAAAATAAATACAGTAAATGGACAAAAGTACAAAGATTCACAAAATGTTTAGGGGTATGCGTATTCCTGTGACCCCCCCCTGCCCCCAGAAAAAAAGCACTGGTGATAAGGAATGTTTTCCAGATGGCTGATTTATTGTATGGGCTTGTATAGTCATAATTTGTTAAAATCTGAAATTCTTCATTGTTTAAACCTTCTCTCTCTCTCTCTCTCTCTCTCTCCCTCTCTCTACTATATAATTAATATAGTTATATAGTTTAGATGGGATTTTTAAATTTATATATTTTTAACAAGGAAATCTCAATCACTTTTCAAGACAAAAGGATGAAAAATCCAATAAACTGATTTCTAAAATGTGTGGCTGATCATGAAGAATTCCATTCTTGGGTATATACAACAAGTGACATTTATTGCTAAAGACATACATTTCTGCACACATTTATATTTTCTATTCAGCTTTGAGACTTTGGATAAATGCATTACACACACTTATAAATATAAAGAAACAGACAAAATGCCTACCCTCCTACGTAATAAGATGCAAACAAAGACTCTCTTTATGCTTCTACAGTAATGCAACACATTCACCCCTCCACAACCTTTATCTATGCCTTTCAGCATTTCCAGCTTTTATAATCCTGGGTGCGGCCTGTTTCCCAAAACCTGAGATAATTGAATTAATTTCATGCAGCAATTCCCAATTTTTAAAAAAGATATTATGAGCAGTGAGGATGGTCAAGGAACACATTTGAGTGTTGTATTTTCTCCTGTTAGAATTTTGTTTGTTTGTTTTATTCTAACTTTGTCAGAATACTGGAAACATGAATTTGTTAACAGGCAACTTCTGGATTATAAGCAGGTGTTCCACATAACCGTTCAGATGTAGGTGTCAAATCAGCTTGGTATGTGGTGATGGCAGCTTCTACTGCTGAATAAAGAGGAACATCAAATATGAGTGCAGTGTTTCTCAACATTTTTTATTCTTGCTCACTTCTAGAATTATAGAATCATAAAATTGTAGAGTTGGAAGGGACCAAAAGACTAATTTAGTTCAACCCCCTACAATACAGGAATCTTTTTGCCCAATGTGAGGCTCGGACCCATGACCCTGAGATTGACAGTCTCATGCTTTAGCAACTGAGCTATATGAAAGATGAAAACATCCTACCATCTGAACATCCTATCTTCTGATACCCTCAACCTCCAACCATCTAACAGAAAGTATGTACAGATCACTAGAGTGAGTGGAACAAATCATATCTAACCCCTCTTAAAACCACATACGAGTGAACACCAGATAAAGCAGCACTTTTCATAAATCACGTGGCTGCGTGGTGTGGAAGGGGAAGCAGTCGTCACCACAAGTCCAGTGTGGATAATTCAACCCAACCTTGCCTTGGATGGTGATAGTGAAAAAATATCTACCTTTACCAACTTCAAACTTTGCTCTCCCCTTTCATGTGTTCCACTTTTCCCAAAAGACCCACTCCACATTCTGAGAAGCATTGCACTGGTGACAATAGCTGTGTACCTGAAAACATTTGCACACCTGCAAGATTAACTTGAATAATAGGTATTGTACAGTTTTGCCAGAGATAGTACTTCAGCCAATACAAATAGAGTACCAGTTAAAGGAACAACTAACCAAGACAACAAAAGACACACTCAAAACCATTTAGATAGAATTCATGCCAAATTCTTTTAACAAGAACTGCCATGATGCATCATGTCAATGATCCATCTAGCCTAGCATCTTCAACAATGCTTCATATGCTGCTAGGCAGTTGACAAAAGTAGAACACAACCTTCATCCTCCTTTTGTTTGTTTGCAGCACTTGGCCGGAAGACATATACTGCCTCTGAATGTGAATGATGTATTTCTGGCTAATGCAGCAAGTAGCAATCCTCTGCAATACTGAATCTTTTTCAAAACTCATTTATGCTAGTGGACATCGGAACATTCTGTAGCAATGAATTCAAAAGATGTCACAGTGCCTGGCAAGCTACTGGAGACATTAGAATTTTAATTCTGAAGTCGGTGCATAACCTACGTGAAATTAAATCCCTTCATCTATGGCAATATACCATGGTGCTCAAATGATTTAATCTGAGTGGCTTTAGAGCTTTTCACTTGGAAGGGATATAGGAATTGCTGCTCATAAGGTAGGATTAAACCATGTGCACAACCTTAGTCTTTAGCTCTTGGTTAGACCATCCCTATTACTATTGCATAATACAGATCTATAGAAAACTCATAAATTAAAAAAATCCTTAGCAAATCTACACTGCCTTTCCTCTGCGCATTGTCTTTTCCCTTTTCATTTTAAGAAATTGCTTTTTTATTATTTCTGTTAGATTGCTGTCTCTTGATTGCAAACAAATAGCTTTTCTTCTAACCAATATTAATAAACCAAATTACAATTTCACGAACTATTTTGAGTGATATTCATTAATTCTCTGCTATGAGGGAAAGCATTCACATGGCCACACATTTCTGCTACTTTGTTCAAATCTTTCTTCCACAGGAACTGAAATACCATTATTTATTTATTTATTTAATTTATTTATTACATTTTTATATCTCCCTTCACCTGAAGATCACAGGGCAGTTTACAACATAAAATACAAGATATTGGATTATTTCTCTTGGGAAAAATCCCTTTAGTTTTTCATCCAACATGATAACATGTTTAAAATATAAGCAAAAATTATAATATTGTGGCTGCACATCCATCAGGTTCTTGATTAAGATTTGGAATTATTTTATTTATTTAATATTAATAGCAACTATCAACAGTTCAAGGGGACTTACGTTTTGCTGAAGTTTAAACATTTACATTTAAGCTTTCCTTCTGTAAATCATTAATCACATAAAATATGTCACCAGCTGAGAATTCTATGAGGTCAAACTAATGCTTCATTTCTAAGGGCATCAAAGAGCACTAATTACATAGTAATGCCATTTGCTTTTTAAACACAGGCAAATTATAAAAGATGAGGAGGAGAGACAGACATCAGTGAGAACTTTCAAATCAGGCAAAGAAGCTAACACAAAGCACTTGGAAGCTCCTGAGCAACTATGGCTGACAAAATAGAATTATTATGATTATTTTGAAAAGTCACCCAAGCAATTAATTTAAAGCACTTATATTAAAGCATAATATTCACATGACAATCCAATGCATGTAGAAGTAAGTCCTATTGCAGGCACCCCCAAACTCGGCCCTCCAGCTGTTTTGGGACTACATTTCCCATCATCCCTGACCACTGGTCCTGTTAGCTAGGGATGATGGGAGTTGTAGTCCCAAAACAGCTGGAGGGCCAAGTTTGGGAATGCCTGTCCTACTGTGTTCAATGAAGCTTACTCCCAAGTAAGTGCACATAGGACTGCATTCTCAGTGTATCTATATTTTTGTTCTGTCAAAATAGAGGCAGTATTTACAACCATGCAGACATGGTATTATTTAATAAAACAGTCCCCTTCTACTACTCCGCCCCAGCCACGTTCACGATATTTCCAAAGCTTTCTAAGCTCTCCCCAAGAATGCGAGCTCCTGCAAAATCCTCTAGAGTGGTTCTCAAACTTTTTTCTCTGGCCCACACTTTCAGAATAAGAAATTTCTCGCACCACACCCAGTTTTTTATTGATAAGAAAAACATTGGAAAACAAACAGAAACAACACCTAGCAGTGCTTGATTTATAACACCAAACTACCTTATATGATCATGGGAAATCCAGAAAGTGTAAAACAATGCAGCTACATAAGAACTGAAATATTCCCAAAATATAATAATGATTGTCTTCTAATCTTCCCGCCACACTGCCCACATTCTCCTGCCACACCCTGCTCTAGAATGTTACTCAACAGTCCTCACATCACCTGAAAAGCTTTTTTTCTTCTTGTTGAGCTTACAGCTGTCAACTGCAACCTGCATGATGCTGTTCTTTACACACACACACACACACACACACACACACACACAACCAAGTTGCTGTCCTTTTCCTGAATATCTTATGATTAGACTCTTGCCACTTAACAGAGAGCACAGGAAAGTCACCTGCCAAAATGCAGTGTTAACAGCTCCTCACTCCCTGGAAAGTACTGGACAAGTGGTGGAATGATGGAGTAACTGAAATAATTTCACACATGGCTGTTTAATGTTTAAATCTATTTTTGTTTACCTTAATTTGCATAGGAAATTCTATCCTAAAACTCACAATGAGATGTTATACATAACCTCATCTTTTTTTACTCCTCAGGTGAAAAGGGATGTAAAACATAATACAAATTCAGGAAACATAATAAAGCTTTTGGCATAAAAGTTGAGGGGGAAAATGTAGAAAGCAAGCAACCTGACTTTAACCTCTTGGTTCAGTCCTCTTCTTTTACCATCACTAGAAATTTTATCAAAGATTACTACGGTGCATAACCAACTGCTATTTTCTTCAAATATTTGTTGAATAATCCTTATGTGAAACCCATCACCTTCAGAAAGATTATTCACACAGGGACACTAAGCCATTTAACCCTTTAGTGAACCACCCTGGGATCTTATAATGAAGGGTGGTATATAAATCTAGATGGTATTAGTAGTAGTAGTAGTAGTAGTAGTATTAATTTGTTGATCTGAGTCCTCTTTAGGCATTATGAATCCTGGGGCAGTAGTGGGGAAAATGGCTAGCTCTACCCACCTCCACTGCCAACTCATTGAAGATGATGGTGTAGACTGGGGAGTCTTTCCTATTCATAAAGGCTCCCCACACCATTTGGAAATTTGGTACCCTGCTTCCTCCTGTCTTGTGGTAACTTTGCAGGATTCATAGCACCCAAGGCAAGCTCTGGAAATGTGGGGAATGTGAAGATAAAAGTTTCAAGCTAAAGCATCCCAGGAGAGATTTACTGTGAGGATCCAGCAAGGTTTAAGCATGCATCTGTAAGTGTGAGTTGCTAACTGGAAGCTGCACATCGCAGCTGTGTGGATGACTGTGTGTGGTTTGATTTTATATAACCTGAAGTTTACTGTACTGATCATTAGTGTGGTTCTACATGGGTCGGTATCTGTGGCCACCATGATTTAAACTATCATGCCAGCCCTCTTATATATATACCGTATTTTTTGCTCTATAAGACTCACTTTTTCCCTCCTAAAAAGTAAGGGGAAATGTGTGTGCGTCTTATGGAGCGCATGCAGGCTGCACAGCTATCACAAAAGCCAGAACAGAAAGAGGGATTGCGGCTTTCACTGTGCAGCGATCCCTCTTGCTGTTCTGGCTTCTGAGATTCAGATTTTTTCCCCTCTTGTTTTCCTTCTCCAAAAACTAGGTGCGTCTTGTGGTCTGGTGCATCTTATAGAGCGAAAAATACGGTAATTCAAATTGCAGGAACAAACTTTGTGCTTTTTAAATAAGTGTGCATAAATGGCCCTTTTATTAAGAAGAAGAATACATTTGTGGGGTAGTGATCTGGAGTATGTGCCCAACACAGATTGAGGTCCCAGGCCAGTTTCCTGCTGAAGAAGTCCCCTTCTGCTGCTATTCACCATCAAACCCTCTCTCAGCAACTTGATCTATATCTCTGAACAGTGACTACACACATGGGCTCTGCTTAGCTGAACATGTGAACAGAGCAAAGACACTGCCACCAGTTGGCATAATCCTTTCCCCAGCACTTTCATATCACCAGATCTATCAGATAAACAGGGCTAATGTTTCTACATCCTATCTGTTAGTTCCTGCTATTAACAGACTCTTCATGCACAAATAAGTAATGATTCAAGTATGCCATGAACAAGTGAAACCTGATGAAAGGACATCAGTCAGACCAGCAAGAAAGGCACTTAATAGCAAAATGCCATAGTAAGTTGGGTGTTACACACTGACCCATACAAAGATGTCCAAGCCAAGCAAGCAACTCTACTCTTTATCTTGACTACCCCCATTTTCTTTTTGGTCTTTGGTATTTCCTTCCTTGCCTCTTGCATGCATCTATTTCTGTCTGCTCTGAATGTTTGTATTTTTTTAAAAAAGAAACTAATGATGAGCCTCACAGAAAATAAACCGAATACCAAAAACACAAAAACACCCTAAACTTTATTTTGAGGCATTCCAAAACCAAATCAACAGCTATAAATCAAGCTGAAGCTCCTGAGGC